AGAAGACAGGGAAATTGTTTCCCACGAGATCAAAGTTACCCTGAATTAACAAGACAAGGAAGGGCATAGAGAATAAGAAAATTGGAACCTTGAAAAGCTAAAGCAATAAACTTCATGCTGGTGAATTGAGACACACAAATAGGAAAAAGAATTAAGTTCTCTCTTTTCTCAAGTCTTATTCATGCCAGTCAAACCTTCATCAAAACAAGCAGATAAAGATTTTGCAAACAATACATTTATGAACATCTAAAACTTTGTGGGATAATCATATTAAACTTTAATTCATCGATCCCTATGGATGTGATATATCTGCTGAATCTGTCTACATCATCATCGGTGCCTCGCACATTTGCTTTCCTCCGCCAAATCACACTAACAGAAATAAAACATCAAATAAGACCTCACCTCTCTGGTGTAAAACTTCACTGCAAATCCACGTGGATCCCTCAGGGTTTCAGGGCTGCCACGCTCATGGATAACTGTGGAGAAGCGGACAATGACAGGTGTCTGAACTCCAGGAGCCCGGAGAAAATCAGCACATGTGAGGCCAGAGATATCATGGGTAACCTCAAAGAAACCCTTTGCACTGGCTCCCCTAGCATGGACAACACGCTCTGGAATCCTCTCCCTGTCAAAATTGGCAAGCTTCTCCACCAGATGGTAATCCTCAAGAAGGATTGGACCTGTCAGAGAAAAAAGTATATGCAGATCAAACCTCAGTGTCTGTCCTCACTCTACATGACAAGCAAAAATACATTCCCAACAACTCAAAGTTACTCTCCAAGTCATACCACTACAATCATTATAAAACTTACAGCAAAAAAGGGAGGGAAAAAACACTTCTAAAAACTCACTCTACAATGCATAGACATTCATAACACTGATTCTGACTGAAAACAACATGCCAGTACTTGATCTGGTTTCATTTAATACATTCTGCCTTTCAGCACGAGGTTTGCCCTGGCTCACGATTCAGCTGACTTTATATTATATAAATAAGCTCCACTTGAATCGCAATATCCAACCTCAAACAAAAAAAATCAACCAGACTCAAAAAGGCCCTGCTCCTCCAATCGTTTTGCATCTGATCGGAAACTTCACATTCTGCTATAAGCTTGCCACCAGCATAATGATTTGGACAACATTACAATAACTCCTACCTTTTTCTTACATCAATCTTAACCATAACTCTCTAAATATGCTATTTAATTCATCCTTGACATTTAAAATTCATCGGAAACAGAGGAAGCATCAAATAACCAATCACAAAGATACAGCAAGAAACCAAAAAAAAAAACCTGATAATAACTCAAATTAAATAATAATTCTTCCAAAATGGACATCAAATTACTACACTGAAAAGTCAATCTTCATCAACATAAACACAGCAACAGTCCTAAAAAACATTAACATATCAGAAAAACATCCAAACCAGACAAGCATACATACACCTTAACCTAGCGATTAATTATCTAGCTCAGCAACCATAGATTTAAGAAACAAAAAATACCTCTAGATCCAACGGTCAAAGACGAGTTGTTGTTCCAAACCGGAGCTCCAGAATTGGTAGTCCAGTATGGAGTACTGAAAGCGCTAGATGGACGGTACTGCCACCACCACCATCGAATTAGTCAAAATGATGATCAAACGGCCAAAAAAGATAAACAATACAACATTACAACATCACTAATCTAATCTTTTTATTAGGCTCTAATTCCAAGGATGGGTGACAGTTAAGCTACAAGCTCATTCGTCGAATGATTTCATACATGGAAAAAAAAAAAGAAAAAAGAGGAGAAAAACATGTTTCAATCGAAAAAACAAGATGGATGAGGAAGAATCGGTACCTTGTAGGGATCCATGGAGGAAAGAGAAAAAACAACAACTCTACTGGTGGTTGAGGGGAGAGAGTAGTGGTAATCACAGGTCAATCAAAGCAATGCTTGTCTAATGGGAAATATATTTATAGCTGTCCTGTGCCTTGCACACCCATTTTCTTTTTGTGTAGAATGCTTACCGGATAATATATGTTTTTTTTTATTATAATTATATATATATATATATTGAGAATTATTGAAAAAATATTAATTTATTATTTTTTAAATGAAAAGGAATTTTAAAAACAGTTTGAATCACAAAAATATAAACAATCTTTATCTACACAAGGATGCACTTTAATAAAAAAATATCACCCATGTATTTATAATATATAATTTAAACATGATATGATTTATGATACTTGAAGTTTGATTTGATTTAACATTTTAATTCAATTGAATAAAATATTAATTTAACAAAAATTCATTTAATCTAGTTAATTTTTTAACTAGTTTAATTACTTATTACGACATGCATAGTGTTTTTTATTTATTATAATATTCTTATCGATGGATTAGCTAGAACATAAATAACGGGTCCTCAAATTACTCGTGATAAATTGGAGACTCCGTTGATATATATATATATATCATGGTAAGACAAAATTTGAAATTGTGGTAAAAAATTATTTTCTTATTCAAAAAATATATTTAAATATTTTTTGTTTTATAAATTTTATTTTTAATTTAGTACATCAAAATTATTTAAAAATATTTAAAAAATCAGTTTTTTTAAAATATAATTTAACTGAAAAACAAACACTGTCTAGAAAAACTAAGAAGCTATGACCCACAGTGTGAATATCATGATATATATGTGGCGAGAAAAGCAAGATTGAAGATTGGAGTCGCAAATTGTTTTAAATAATAATAATAATTGAGTACGTCATCGATTCATGGTTCCTTATCCAAGTTTTGGTGCTTTGCTAAAACCAATTCGTATCCACGCGTGTAGTCGGAGACATGCACCACTCGTTGTATGACACGTTTGCAGAAATACCTTGAAACGTAAACCAGGTGAAAAGGTCAGCTGCTGTTTTGGTATTTTACGAGAGCAGGAGGCTTGCCAAGAAGATTTTAATAGGGCATGAGGTGTGAGCTTAGCCACAAGGGATGCTCTCTGGCCCACCCTGAATTAATTCTCTTGATTCCGTTCTCACTTGTAATTTTATTTTATTTTTCATTTTAACGATTTTTTTTTTGTGAGGTGATGTTTGTCTTATCAGTTTGTATATGTTGATAATTAAAATTATTTTTCAATCCGATTTTAAAATTAAACTAAGATTAAAATACTTATGAAAAAATACGTTTCGGGGAAAGAATATTTGGGTTTGGTTGTTGAAGAAGAGGAGGTTATGAATTTGTTTTTTCAATAATCACGATTTTTTTGGCTTTACATATACCGAGGCATAGAAAAAATAATTTTGTTGTGATATTGTTAGAAATAATTTTTAAAAAAGTAAAAATATAATATTTTAATAATTTTTAAAAAAATATTTTAAAAAACAACTATTATTATACTCAAAACACTCACAAAATTGTAATTATTAATATCTATATAATTAAAAATAATAAGAATATATCTTTCATCCATAAAAAAATATTTTATTATTTTATATATATATATATATATTTTCTATATTTATTTACTGATGTTTACCTCTTCAGCATCATAAATTCGTAATAATCATGAAACAATTCTGTCTGATAAAAATATCTGTTCTCATCTAGAGCAGGAATAGACATGGAACAGTAAACGGGCCAGGCCCACTTACAGGATGAGACGTCACCTTGATTCCTGTGCCGTTTCAGCCCACCAGGCTGATGATAAGGTGATGATGCGTTACCACTCCGCCTTTTGTGTGGCCATCAAATGCTTATGTTTGTTTTTTTCCAACGCATGCCATCCGGAACCCAGCCTTTATTGAGCGCATAGAGAATGGATAATTATCGTGGCATCATGCCTGATTTCTATACGGAGGACTTGTCGGTTTGCGTGGTTGTAAATCCCAGATCTGCACATTATTATTATTTTTATTATTATTAATATCGGTATTCCACACATTTTTATGTATTTTAATTAATTTTATAAATTTTAAAATTAATAATTATATAAATTTTTAATGATTCTGAAATTTAAAAAACTCAAATTAATAATTTATAAAAAATAAATTTAAAACCTTACCAATTAAATTATATCATTTAATTGATCTAAACATTATTTAGTTCACTGGAATCAAGTCTAGTCAATATTAAAAAAAAATATCTGGACAAAAAAATTCAGCTTGCTCAATAAAAAAACTACTCTTAATTTATTGGTTTTTTAATAAAAACATAAATAAAACAGTATTATTTTAATTTTTTAAAGAATTATTTTTTGAAAGTGAACTCTTCTCTGTATTCTCTATATGTAATTTGGATCGTGCACTAAGTTAATTTTTTAATCGAGTTTCGGAACATGCTTTAAAGTGATTTTTTAAATTAAATTTTAAATACAAATCATCAAATTAATATTTTTAAAAAAATAAATTTGATGGTTTTTATGATATTTTTTAAATAAAAATATATTTTTAATTGCATTGTCAAATATAAATCACATATTATTAGGATTTGAAAAAGTTATTAAACTCAATATATTTTATGACTCTTGGTATATTAACTTAAAATGATTTATATTAATTATTTTTAAAAAAAATTAAAAATAATTTTTAAAAATAAATAAAATTAAGTTTTAATAGGTCACAGGTTGACCAGCTACACCAAATCAAATTGAGTCACCTTCAATTGAATTATTTTTCAAGTCATCGGGATTTTAAGTGGACCCACTGGGTTTAATAACTGTGGGGTCTGGACCTGGAGGGGAGAAGAATTTGTGCAGCAAAGTTTCCTTGAATCACTGAGCAACTGAGATTTCTGCAAGTCAATGTGCAATTAGCCTCGGATCCTGAAGTTTATGTGTTCACTACTTCACCTACTCCAATTCAAATTTCAAAGACCAAATGGAGATGACAGTGAACAAACAAGTGAATACAGAATTAATGGATGTCATTTATATAATTACAACAATTTAATATGGACATAGAACATTAGAAAAATTAGTACGTTCAACTTTAGACAAGTATCTCAAATGTGTTCAGCTTTGCTCATAAGCTGTAACAGAGAATTTGCCTTCCTCTGAGCTCTATTGGTTCCACTCTTTGAGATCTCAACTAAATTTTCGTACACGCCAAATTGAAGTGCCGCTAGCATGAAAGAAGAATTGGTGGATCCCAGCTCAAGAAGAACTGAAGTTGCACATTCTTTGTTTTTGGGGGTGCCATCTTTCATGAGTTCTACGAGAGTTTCAATAAATGAGAGCTGTCCGATCTCATTTCGCCCTTCAGGATGCGATGCAAGGAGTAGAAAGATCGACAGGGCCTCATCGACCATGCCCAGATTCCTGTCCTTGACCAAGTGGAGTAATGGTGTGACAATGCCAGCATCTATAGCCCTACCTTTATTTGAATGGTTGAGGGATAAGTTAAAGAGTGCAGTGGCAGCATCTTTTTTTCCTCTTACAGTTCCATTCTGTAACAAATCTACTAATGGTGGGATGCCATCAGACAACCCTATGGTCACTTTATTCTCATCAAGCATTGATAAGCTAAATAAAGCTGCTGCAGAGTTCTCTCTAGCCTCAGTGGTTCCACTATTCAAAACTCCTATTATAGCTGGAACGGCTCCCTCCTTAGTTATGAGACTCTTGTTATTCTCATCAATAGATAGATTCAGTAAAGCTGTTACGGCGTGCTCTAGAATTTTAGAATCCGGATAGGACAGGAGTTGAACTATTGGTGGGATTCCTCCATTGTTGGCAATCAAGATTCTGTTCTCAGGATTCTCTTTGGAGAGCATGCGAATCTTCTTCACGGCCCTTCTCTGCACTTCCAGCTGACTGGAAGATAGGTCCTTAACCAAAGAAGAGACTTTCTCTTGGTGTTCAGAGGAGGTCTCGGGGTCTGAGCTTGCTGGAACATGCTTTTTGGGAAGCTCAAAATTATTATTCTCACACCACTGCAAGATTAAGTTTTTGAGTGCATAATTTGGTGCCAATGACAGGTGAGCCAGTGTTTCTCGAGTCTTCGGACAGGTCCGGTGATTGGAATCAATCCACTTCTGTATGCTCTCTCTCTCATAAGTCTTTAGGGGATCACCGAGGGAAAAGAAGGAAGATCACAAATTAGTATGCTGAGGAATTATGAAGAAAGGTGTTTCACTTGGATATGACTGCTTACCTGGCCGCTTGCAACAATAACAGGATCTGTCATTATTTCTAGTGTGATTGGACAGAGGAATTCATGTGGGATGATCAGAGACAGGCTCTTCTTCAGCATTTTAGGCACAACAGGATCGTCAAGCACATCGGTCACTTCCATGCCTACAATTTGCTTAAATTTGTTAAGAAGATCAATCATTTGCTGGGTGCTCTCGGTTACTTGGTTTCCTCTCTCTTTAACAAGACTCCTCATAGCTACAGTTTCAATCTCCAGGTCTTCAACGCTAAGCAGCTCTAGCTTTTTCGCTAGCCTTTCTATTATGGCTCTGTCAGCATTCCGGTCATCCTTTTTGGTTAGTACCACCATCATATCCATTGCGAGCTCTATATCTTGTGTATCCGTTCTCCTCTTTGCTCGTCTAAGCTGCACTTTCATCAGGTCAACCTGAACAACCATGTAGAATTGCCTCAGATTATGATACCACAACAGAATAAACAGCTTGCAGAAATTCAAAATACATCAGCTGAAAATGTCTCGAACTGCTAGTGCAAGTTCATGTAGAATCCCAGCCCAGCAACTTCATGCTCTTGTAACAATCATTTTTGCTCCAAAACTACCAAACATAAACCTCCAAACAGACTAAGAGACTTAAAAAAACATGAAGAGCACAAAATTATTTAAAGGGTAACTTTCCTTTTCCCATATCATTTCTTCAAGAAATCAATCCAAGCCAAAATGATCGAGGAGGGCTAATTCACCATCACATTCACCAACAAGATCTCAAATTATACCACAATATCAAACACAGCACATTTTTCTTGTCAAGTGTGTGTTTGGTATTATGATAGTTTTCGTTGTTATGGTTTGAAAAAGTAGATTTATATGTAGATTAAGCAAAAACTTTCTAAATAAATGGTTGTGACAAAATGTAGACCACATCACATATCACATAAACACACAGAGCCCAAGCAAATTCATGAAGTACATAAGGGGGGGAAATCAAAGAACGAACCATTCAATGTTCATTAAGATTACCAAAATTAAAATTCTCGATTAACACACCTGTTCTTTCACCTCATCAGAGATCTCAAATTCATAGAAAGGCACAGCCTCAAGAGCTTTCCATAATTTTTCAAGAACATTATGGAATCTCATCATAACCGCCTCGCTCTCGACAACCTGAACACAAACAAGTCAGTAAATATGCATTAATAGCAAATATTAAATAATTAATCATCATTTGAGAATTAATTGTAAAGTCATGACCAGAAAAATTTTGCTTCCTTCATTGCAAGTTGTTAACAGCCTCTTGGCCAAAACAAGTGCCTTCTTCAAACTACTCAAAGAAGCAATACCCACGTCAGAAATTGGCCCATCAAAATCCTTGATCTCCTCTAAGAATGGCAACAAAAGTTTCATCCGTCTAACAAGGCCATAACATTCCTTCTTATGACTTCTTCTGTAATCTCCAAGTCTGGCAACAGATTCAATCACTCTCAAGATCTCTTGAGCAATATCGATTTCCTCTCGTGGGCTTGATTCATTTGATTCGGTACTTTCCTGATCTCTTTCTCCATCCATTAGCATCTGCTGCTTGCAATCTTCCCCAGGAAAACTCGTGGATTCCAGCTGGGTTTTAGACATGTAATCAATCTTGGTCGTTTTGCATGGGAAAAAAATGTTTTTGTAAGGGATGAGAAACTGGAAGGGAACGAAACCCTAACCCTAAATATTCTTCATGAAAGCCGTGGCTTGTTTCTTCGATGGATGTAAGCCTCTTCGCGGGCTTTCCGGCGGTTTGGTTCTTAAAATAGAATTTGAAAGTCAGTTAGTACGGACAAAATGGATTTTGGAAGACACCTTCGCTTTGTCTGTCAAGTCTTTGTAGTAAAATTGTATTCGGTTTTATTTATTTATTTCAGTTAGCATCCACAGTTATGTATATAAACTTCAACGTGAAAATTATTAATTAACCAGAATATTATATATTGGGTATCAAATAAAAATATTATTTAATCAAGATTATTAATTAATCTAAAATATTTTGTAAATGTTAATCCATGAAGGATTCAAGAACATGGAATTAGCAAATCACCATGTCAATTTAGGTTTTTTTAGAAAAAAAGACGTTATTTTTTTTTTCAATAAAACCAACCCCGGTATGTAGATAAATGAAGAAGAAGAAGAAAAGGATATTTCATGTGGTGAATGTTATAATTGGTTCATATATAGTAGGAAAATAGTGATTCAGACATTTGCTTATCATGGAAGGCTATTGATTTATAGGACCCAATCATATGTTTTCTCCGCATTGGTTGCACGGAGAGAGCTGCTACGAAGGGATGTTTTCTTCTCAGTTGTTTTTTGCTTCCCTTTCACCTTTCCTTTTGGTAGCTCAATTGGCTTTGTGCTGACCATTGGTTTTCTTCCCCTTTCTGAGGCACAAAATATGAGAATCTGCTTGCATGCCGATACCAAACTGGATTAACCTTGATTTTCACCATGGATACCAAATTTTAGCTGTCAGATAACAGTCCAGGCAGTTTGGATTTTACAGCTATGAACTCCTTCCTTCATGCCAGGAGATAAACATCTTAAAGTCAATGTTTAGAAACATTATTAAAATTGTATTTAGTTTTTTTATATTTTTATATTTTTTTGATGTAGGAGATAAATATGTTAAAGTCAATGTTTAGAAACATGATTAAAATTATATTTTTTTAAGAAAATTAATTTTTATTTAGTTTTTTTATATTTTTATATCTTTTTGATGTGCTGATATTAAAAATAATTTTAAAAAATAAAAAATATATATATAATTTTAATATATTTAAAAAAAAAACACTTTAAACCATAGCTATCATATTCTATAACAATACTTTCCATAGACATAATAAAATGAATAAAATTTGTTGCCATGCCCTATCTATAAATTAGCCATGAATTCTCAGCTCAAGGTTATGATGATTTTTTTTTAATTAATGCAAGTATTTTGATTAGTTTACATTACATTGTACTTCAATTAATTTCATAAATTTTAAAATTAAAGTTATGATGATTTTTTTTTTAATTAATGTAAGTATTTTGATTAGTTTATATTAAGTATATTTTAATTAATTTTATAAATTTTAAAATTAATAATCATGTAAATTTTTAATAATCTTAGAGTTTGTAAAACTCCAATTAGTAAACTTTAAAAACTAAACTTAGAACTTAACTCATTAAGTTATATAATTCAGAATTGGATCATGATGATTTTATTGACTATGTTTGAGTTAAAAAATCAAGTGGCATAATGCAATCAAAACAACACAAGTTCTTTGGAATATATTAGTTAAACGACAGAGTTTCTTAAGCTTGGCATAATGGAATCAGGGGCCGAACCAGTAGCTTCTTCATGTGTGTGTGTGTAATGGAATCTGACAATTTATTTTTGAATGTAAAACCTAGTCCAATATTTTGGAAGGGTGCAAATTCATTACAACACTCCAACT